TCGCAGTGCTTACTGCTGCTGAGACAGATTTGCCTTCTGTAGTTTCCTTTCCTCGATTTCAATTTCACGTTTTCTCTGCTCCACTGAAGACAGCAGAGAGTTCGCTTCACAGGTCAACCTGGTTAATTCCATCTGAGCAGCATCAACTTGGTTTTGGCCTTTCCTTCGTTCAATATTTGAAGCTTCCTGTAATAAGCATAAGAACAGCATGTCGGAAATTGTAGACCGGTAACTAATGGTTACATTGGAATAGACGGATTGTTTGAGTTTGCTACGTACTCAGACAATAGCCACCCTGTGTCAGTTTGGTCTTCATGACTTCTACCATTTATAGGAGTAAATTAGTCGGAATTCAAATTGTTCTCATGAATTTATGAATGATTTTGCGGAGAAAAACTTGAAGTTTTCTCTATTTACACTTTGAGTCTTGCATTCAATCTGACAGCTCACGCCTGTCGAGCCACGACCTAATTTTTGTACAAGTACATACATGTGTCATGTCACATGCTGAGCACGGCCTGTATTTCGAGAAGCGAAATCACCACAAATTTTATCAGTTCGAAACCGCCCTTCATCTATGCTCGTCCGCCCTTAGTATAACAGAGTCAAGTAGGAAATAAATAATGAAGAATGGTGAGTTTTTAGATCTTTCCATTATTCACCTCAAAAAGGATGCCGCATTCTAGACTCCACCGAAAGGACACGGAAGTAGGAACACAAAATCTTACCAGGTAAGCCTGCCATAAAGTTTTCTCAAAGCGTTGGAGAGGACTCGTATTTTGAAATGGTGGAGGGGTAGTTTTCGATAGAACGGCAGTGAATTTTTTGAAAAAAGTAAGAAGTGATCTCAGTGATAAGAAATTGAACGTGATAGCCGAAGTACCATGGACTCAATAAATTGGATATTTTTTTTATCATGCCTGTAGGAGTCACCCGCCACCCTCCAAATTTTTATAGGAGGGCATTTTCTGGGGGATAATAGTGACAGAACCTGATAAGAGAAAAGTGAGGGGGATACCAGCTCGGGCCGATTTTGGTGACGTCATTGAGCATGAGTAGTGAAAGAGTGTTGAGAGATGATCCCAAAAACACCCTTCAGCGCATTGAGGTCCTGGTCTAACAATGACGTCAAGTGACACCAAAATGCTTCACCCTCCAGCCGTTGTGGTGACAGCTCTGAAGCAATTGTTTGAAAAATTCCAATTTCTAAGAAACTGTAACTAGAATTATGAAATTTTATAGAGAACTCAATGAACTAAATATTTTTGATCATACCTGTAGGAGTCACCCACCATCCTCCAAATTTTTATAGGAGGGCATTTTCGTAGGGATAATAGTGACAGAACCTGAGAAGAGGAAAGTGAGGGGGATACCTTCGGAAAGGGGGCAGAAACCGTACTGGTTGCCGCGTTTTTGACACTTGGCTCACACTAACCCTTCATCGGTCCTTGTTCCCTGTATGTATTACAGCTACCTGCAATAATTGGCTCCGAAATGGCTTTTAATATGTTGAATAAATTTTGGTAGAGCTTCGATCGATCTATTCTATCCAAGTTCATGTTTGCCTTCGTAACAACAATACCATATCTGCGGAACTACTTTTGTGTTACTATGACAAATAGCCTCAATTCTCCAAAGCGGCCGGAGTCTTGCAAAAGGCTTGTGGATATTCTCAAACATGTCGAGACTGATGGGATGCGAGCTAATAGCAAAAGTGCACCTAATCATGCGGTTACCAGTGGATACGGTTTTGTTGTCCTCTATCCAAGATTCCAGATTACTTAGCTTACGTTCTGGCCTCTCGCCTTCATCACAGCCTAGCCTCAGGCAACAATGATCTAGGCTTTCACGAAGGCGAATAGGCCGAAACGTCAGCCTAATAAAAGTACTGAAATCGTGGACAGGCTACAGCAAAACCGTATCCATCAACTTCCATGCCAAGATTAAGAGAAAGTCGTTCTTAGACATATACCAGTGCATTTTCCGCCTCTCATCCATCTTAGGTGGAAGTTGCTGGCGCAGAAAGATTCACCCTGTTTACGTAATAATAAGTGCACACAACATTGCCCATTTGACCCATACGAAACCGCTTGACACAAAACCACAGAAGGTGTATATCGATGAATAATTTTCTAGCTTTTCCTTACTAGACTGTACGAGAACTAGAGTGCTGAAAAGAGAGTCGACGTTTACTGAGCCACTTGAGCTCCACTACGTGTGAATTTCGTTGAGGTCGTCAGAGGCAATAATTTTTCTAGCCCTAGAAAATTCTTATTGGGCATATTCACGTCGTAAACCTTCTAATCCGAGAAAAGCCGTTCCTGTTTCTAGTTTTGTCCGTGAAGCTTTTCTGTAACTTGGAACACAAAAGAAATCTGAGCATTCGAGGACTCAACGTGACGGCTTTGAAGGTACATGAATTTAGAGCGTGTGTTTCTAACTCCTGCTCCATTGCACCTGCGAAAATTAGTTAAAGCAACAAATCTTGATCGAAATGGTGGGGTAACAGCAGTCGACAATGAAACTGTGTACGCCAAACTGACTAAAATGAAAAAAAATCAACCAAAGCAATCAACCGATGAAGCCATTCACAAGGATTCGGACTCTTCCTCCTTGAAATAAGGGACGGAGCCGGACGAGTTTTCTGAACCTATTTGCTCCACAGCTCCACTAACCCGCACTGATTTGATGAAAATTCAAATTAGCCGCTACGCCGTAACCCACGTATCATGGGGTGTGCACGAGATATCTCGTCCGTAAGCCTCACATTAACTGTGACACACGCAGATCACTCTATCCTACCCACTTGCCCAATCTATTCTACGGTTGGTAGTCTATCCCACCCGTAGAATAGATTGTTCGACAAGACCTCATCTGAGTTGTTGGTTTAAGACCCACATTGTCACTGCCTCGCCAGTTTTTTGCCTTTAAGTCAACTAAATCAAATTCACTCACCCTCAAATTTTGTATTTCCTTCTCTTCCAAGGCGATTTTACCATCAAGCTCACCGAGATAGTCAGGACCGCGGAATCCATAAGCTACAGATAGCTGACGCGCGATCTTATGAACATCA